TTGTGTGATTGTGGGCAATTATTTAAGCTCTTTGAGCCCCAGTTTCCACGACTCTAAAATGAGGGTGATAATCCTTCCTCATAGGGGTGCTGACCACAGACCATGGCAGCAGCCCATCATGTTATTTCTGCACTGTTATGATTGGTGCTTAATTGCTGTGTGACTCTTTTTACATTTATGAAAGGTTTGAGGATCTAAATAAATTTAATTGGAAAATAATGGTGTGCAGCTTTCCAATAAGGCCTGTTTCTGGGTAGTGATCATGATCTTGGCCAATGACCCGCCATCCTTAAATACCGGCCCTCACAGGATGCACAGAAGCACCCAGGTCAGAGGATCAGCTGTGGGAAGCGGGGGCGGTGGGCCAGTACAGATCTTGTCAGAAGTTGGCAGTCTTGTGCAGGAGAAAGAAATAGGCCAAAGGTGGAAAGTATTGGAAAGTAGAGAGTGCTGTGGAACTCATGGGCTAATGGGATGCCAACTTGTGTGGGTCACCCTGACATGCATGTGCTGGGTCCTGTCATTCCATCCTGGGATGTGGTCGTGAGGCGACATATTACACTCCAGAAGAAAGAGGCTCCTCTCTGGAGATCTCACGGAGGTGAGTGTGCAAACAGCAGAAGCCTGAGCAGGTATGAGGAATGGTGCTCCAGCGAAGAACCAGGGAAAGTAGCTGAATCTATAGCAGGATGATTCATAGGGATCTCCTGAAATACGGAATACATACGTCTTGTAGATTTAAACCATTTTTTTTAATCTTCAGGTACAAAGACTGTGGTATAGACCTTCACCCCCCCCCACTTTGCCTACCTTTAGACATCTCGTCATCCTTCGTCTTCCCTGTTCTCTCACAGTCTCTCCATCTGTCATTTTTCAGGGCCTTGACATTTTTGAGGAATACCAGTTAGGCATTTTGTAGCATGTCCCTCAGTTTTTCGTCTGGTAGTTTCCTCGTGATGAGACTGAGCTCAAGGGTTTGGGGAAGAATACCATGGAGGTGAGGCGCTCTTCCCATCACCTCCCATCAGAGAGTATGCGATTTCAACATGATTTATTACTGCTGTTGTTAACCTTGGTCACGTGGTTAAGGCAGTGTCTGCCAGGTTCTCCACTGTAAAGTTACCAATTTTCCATTCTTGGGCCCTGGGAAACAGATTTCCTAACTAGAGTGCAGAGTTTATGTACTGTTCCTAGTGCCTCTACGCGAGTCACTGGGTCCAGCTCATCCTCAGCTCTACTTCCTGAAGGGGGCTATAATCCATTGTGAAGTCATTTGTTTTATTCCTTCAATTGATCTAGATTTGGCCACTGGGAGTTTTCCAGGCTGCCTCTGTGTTCCTTTGACATGCCCTCATTCTTTTCTGTTTTGAGACTTTCCTTACTTTCTGGTACTACAAGAAGATTGTCCAGGCGCATCTTCCCCAGCCTTCTCTGTCACAGCTCCAGAGTCAGCCATTTCTCCAGGGAGCCTTGGTTCCTTTCATTGCCTTAGAAACCAGGATCTGGGGGTTGGGTGTGCTTGTTGCTACTGGGCCATCACTGCTTTTAGGCCCTCTTAGCAGACAGAGTGAGGAGATCCATATAAGTTTGCTATCCTGTGCACATAACGTACAGCTATTGTCACTTCTGTGCCTCTCCGTCTGTATGTGATTAAGCCGAGGATGAGTTCATACTGATGTCTTGGACTCTGATCTAGTACCACAGGGTTCATTCTAGCCTTCCCCTCCTTGCTTTTCTGTAGCTTCTCTTTCTGACAGTGAAAAACCTGGCTTCAGCCATCCACTCTTCACTTAATTGCTCAACACCAGAATACAGATGTAAAGCAGTTTCCAAATTAATCAACCCATATTCCCGTGAGAAACAAATTTCTCAACTGGAGTACAGAGTTCATGTACTGTTCCTAGTGCTTCTAGCTTTAGAATTCCAGTTGAAACACCATTTCCCAGAGTTACTTAGGTTAGCTCCACCCCCCCTTTCTTTACCACTCTCTTGAAGACTTTTCAAGAGTTAAGGTAGGCAGGGATAGCTTTAAGGATAGTTCCAGATACCCAGCTTCCATAAATACTGTATTCTGTACCTCTTAATCATCTCAAACTTTAGCATTGCCCCAGGGAATGCTGGGGCATTCCCCCAAACACAGGGAACTTGGAATTATGTATATAGTTATTGAGAGACCGAATGAGTCTTGAGTGGATGACAGATCCTTTCACAAGTCAGTTGGCTTGCAGGTTTTGCTCTTAATAACACTTCAGGATATTAATGGATGATCAGGAGCCAATTTTAGTGATATTCTTGACTTAAAACGAGGCAAGAACTGAGGGATACTTTTAACAAAACTTCCAATTCCTGTTTATTTAACTGAATGAGGTTTCCCAGTACTTAAAGCTTGAAAGAAGAGAAAGAGAAAGAGGAGAAAAAGAAAAGCAAGAGAATCATTGTTGAACCTTGTCTATTCCAGCAAAAAGTGAGCATTCATCTAGTGGATACTAAGGGGAGGGAAAAAAAGCCCACTGACATCTTTAAGTGATGAAATTTCCAATACAGTTTTGCTTTTTATGTTTAATGATTATTTATCAATGTGATTAATTTTATTTTTTACCAATTCTGTACCTAATAGTAATGTTAATAATTCAGTCGAGAATGAAAGCCTATGATCAGGAAATATAAATTAATTTCCATTTATATGATAGGGTGATCAATAAAACTTTGAAGCAGAAAAACATTACCTATGGGGATAGGAAGGAGTTCAAGGAGAGAAAGGAATGATGTAAACTTTGTGATTCTTAAAAGAAGAGCTTATTTGAAAAGAATGATGGTTGGTTTCAAATTGCTGTGGTTTTTGGATTCCTTTGGATATGTTTTACTTGCGTCAGTATTTATGATTGCTGAAAATTACATCCTTTTCAACTGCTTAGACCTGTAATGGAACGTTTTAGACAGCAGCTTGATGTGCAGTCGCGAATGGTGAACGGGAGGGGCGGGAGGGGAGCCTGTTTGCAGGCCACGGGGCGACGGCCAGTTTTGTAAGGCCGCCAAGTGTAGACCAAACAGCGTCTGTCCATCTCCTGACAGTATTTGAGACCTTGCACGAAAAATTCTCCCCGTCTCAATTTAGCTCGTTTGGAAAACTGGGTGACCATCTTGCTGGGTTATTGCAAAGAAAGGTATGCAAAGCCTCTGATACACCGTGTGCGAGAACGAAGAACGGTGTGCTTGTGGAGTGAGGGGCACAGGAGTCCCGACCTAAGACAGCAGAAGGTGGCGCGGCCGGGTCTCCAAACTCCCTGGCCTTGGACCACTCTTCGAGATGGATTGTGCAGACCGGTCCTCTCGCAGCTAGCGCCCCGCGCCCCGCCCGCTTCCCCCCCGCCCCGCCCGGCTCCGCCCCTGCCGCCCGGAAGCACCGCGGTCCCGGGAACCCAGATTCCCCCCGGGACGCTTCCCGCCCCGCGGAGCAGGCTCAACAGGTATGCTGCGGGCGGGCCGCCCGGGATCCTTACCCCGAGCTGCCCCTGGGGCTCCGGGAGCCGCGGGGAAAGGGATGGAAGCCCCGGCCGGTAGACAGAGGCTGCAGGGGAACTGGCCGAAGTCCCGCGCGGCGTCGGTCTCCGTGGCGACGCGCGGCACGCCGAGCTCCGGCCAGCTCGCAAGCTTGCAGCCCAGCCGGCGGCCGCCCCCCGGAGCGCCCCTACGGGAGAAGGCTAGTCCCGAGAGCTGGGGGCTTCCACCCGCTGGTGCCGCCGGGGCGGGAGGGTCGCCGTCCCTCAGTTCCCGGGCTGGAGTCCTCGAGTTCCAGTTGCGCAGCCTCCTCCCTCAAAAACCCCGTCCTCGGGTGTCCCCGGCCTCCTCTGGCAGCGGAGCTGCCTCCCAGCCCCATGCCACCCAGTTGTCCCCTTTCCTACCCTGACGCAAATGATAGAAAACCTGACCTGCCTGCTCGCGCAAGTTTTTTAAAAGTGGGCATGGTGCCCTAATTGTGGTATAAAAAGGAAATGCAAGGAAACGGTTTATGAGAGTTTGCATTTCAGTCTGCAAATGCTTGGTACGACCACAGTCGAAGAACTAGTGAAGTTGCCTAGTGTCCGCGCCTGGGCAGGGAGGCACCTGACCTTGACGGCCGCGCCCACTGTTAGTCTCGGCTACCGACCCAGAGCAGCTCAGCCAGCGGGGGCGTGATTTTCCAAACCCGTGCACGATTCTTGGTAATGTTCCAAACACAACAAAGTACAATCCAGCCTTGATTTACACGCAGTTGCGTTCCTCGAAAATTCGATGTTCAGTAAAACTGCAAAAAATATTCTGTTTTTACGTGTAAAATGGAGTTTGGTTCTAGCAGCAGATCGTTATAAATGGCCTTTTCCACGCACATGAATGCGTGTGAGGACTTGCTAAGGTTGTAGGGCCGCGGGATCGTCCTTTATCTTCAGGACGGCCCTTCTCATCGCAGGACATTAGTATCCCAGGCCCCCACCACTTCTAAATGCCACAGTGCTTCGCCATCTCTGCGGGGAACAGAAAAACCTCCACAAATTCCCAAAATGTCCCCTAGGGGGCAGCACGTCCCCGTTGAGAAGGGCTGAACTGTAAAACTGCACCCGCATTAAGGACATTTCCAGCGTTACCGAGGAGCCAAGACCGGGGTGTTGTATCTTAGATTCTCAGAACAATCTTGCAAAACCAGGGATTGTTATTTCCATTTTAGAAATTAGGAAAGTGAGGTTTTGAGGGATTAAGTGACTTCCCCAGGTTCACAACACTACAGTGTATCAAAGCTGAGTCCGAGCTCAGATTCCACCAAGAAGCACCGTTTCACTTTGGTTGTCCCCTGTGGCCCCAAGGAAAGTTATTTGACTCTGTCTTGGTGAGGTTGGTAGGAAGGTTTTAGCAAAAGGAGTTCCTTTACATTGTAGTGATCAGTTGTGTGACTTTGTTCACGTTTATGAAAAGTGTGTGATAAAATTTCAGTGCTCTGATTTCAGGAACCACCACGCATTGACACCATGGACAATTACGATGTGATCAAGGCCATTGGGGAAGGTGCCTTCGGGAAAGCATTCTTGGCTAAAGGGAAATCAGATAGCAAGCACTGTGTTATAAAAGAGATCGATTTTGCAAAGGTAAAGTGAAGAAGTTCACATTCCTGTTCATTTTCAGTAATATATTCAGCTGGCTTTTAATTCAGTATGAAAAAGAAACTCATTTTTTGGCTTGTCTGTTTTTATGATATGAGCCTCAATTGACTAGGGGCGCCTGGGTGGCTCAATTGATTAAGCGTCTGCCTTCCGCTCAGGTCATGATCCCAGGGTCCTGGAATCGAGCCCCGCATCAGGCTCCCAGCTCAGCCGGAAGCCTGCTTCTCCCTCTCCCTCTGAGCCCCGCCCCCCCCCCCCCGGCCTGTGCTCTGGCCCCATTCTTGCCCCCCCTCTCCCTAAAAAAAATAAAATTTAAAAAAAAAAAAAAAAGCCTCAGTTGACCTTGGTTTGCTCACACTCCTAAGTCTGTTGTCCAAAGAGCAACCAATATTTTACTAGAAAAAAGAAAAGGAAAGGAAAGGACAAAAAGAAGGAAGAAAAGAGTAATAAGATTATATCACTGGTTCCTGTGGCAGTCTTCAGGGTGGCCTGCAAGGCCCGTGAGGTGTCCCCTCCTCCATTGCTCAACTTTTCTATTTTGCCATGGGCTGGTGCTCTTCTTCTGACTGCCTCTCCTTCATCAGGTCCCCTCCACAAAGAGGCCTTCCCCAAATCATCCCTGTCCCACCCTCAATCACTCCTTATTACCCTGCCCTGGCTTCTTTTCTGAATAGCATTTATAATGATCTGGAATTACTCTGCTCACTTTTTTCTTCATGTGCTTATTGTCTGGCTTCTTCAGCATGAAGGACAGTGCTTGGCACGTGATAGGCGCTCCAAACATTTACTGAATGCATCAAATGAATGGAGGAAAACAAAGTCCATTTGCTAGTCCAACGATTTTGGAGAGTGATTAAGTATATTTCATTGAAAAGGAATCATTTCTGAATTCTTCTCGGTCAAGTGTTTGTGTCACCCCCCTCTAGTGATAATATATTGGGACAACCATCTCCATCGCATGCTAGAATTAATTTTAAGGCAAGTCTTGTTGGTTGTCCTCTGGAGGATTTATAAATGAGAGTAGCAGAAAACGTGCCATACAAAACGTGTGCAAGTGGGGCACCTGGCTGGCTCAGTCGCTTAGTTGGTAGAGCATGTGACTGTTGATCTCAGGATTATAAGTTTGAGCCCCACATTGAGTGTAGAGATTACTTAAAAATAAAAATCTTGAAAAAAAATCTCTTTAGTTAAAAAAAAAAACAGAAACACCCCAAAATGTGTGCAAAAATGGACTTGACAAGTTGCACGGTGTGAGTGTACTTAATGCCCCCGAACTGTACATTTAAAGACGGTTAAAATGGTATATATTTTATGTTCTATATATTTTACCACAATTTTTTAAAGTTGCAGAGGAAAACAGAGGGACTGCCCAAACTTACATTAAAGCTCAGGTGTAGATGGTTAGCTTCAGGGAGAATGCTTTATTTACCAGTATCGGTCCCTCTTCATGGCTCCATGGCATACTTCTGCGAGTATCTTATTCTAGGGGCCTGTCAGAGCTTCCTTCCACGACAGTATTCTGCTCGCTCTCCTTTATTCCAAGGAAATACCAAGAGATGTACAGTCAGAAAGCAACTTAAATGTCCAACAGTAGGGGATTGGTTACTTAATTTATAAAAAATGAAGCGGCTCTTAGAAATCATGTTGCAGGTGAAGTAGTGACATGAGAAATGTCACGGCTTCTGCTAACTGAGAAAACAGTATGTGTAGAACGAGGCACTCTTTGTAAAAATATGCATTCTCTCTCTAGGGGTATATAGATACCCATGCATATATATTCACATACATACAGGGAAGATGTACTAGATTGTTCTTATGTAGGTGGAATGTAGGATTGTGAATCATTTTTGCCCTGTACTTTTATATTCTTTCACTCTTCAGATTAGTTTTCACACTCTCTCTGGTTTGTTTTCCCAAATTCCATTTCTAACTTCCCCTCCACATACGCGTCCTTTGCAGCCCAGCAGCCTCTGTGCTTGCCCGTGCGGCTCTTTCTTTCAAGAAGGTCTTTGCCTGCCTAGCTCTAAGCATCAAGATCCCACTTGCTTCTGGCTGAGCTCCCGGAGACTTTCCAGGACCTTCCCACTCGAAGCACTCTCTCTGTCTCTGTAAACTCGATAGCTTTTTATCCGTCCTGCTGCTATGGTACTGATTGCCTTCTACCTTGATGTGCTTTGGCTGGGTTTTTTTTGTGTGTATGTGCCTTCTCTCCCTTATTAAACTGTGTGTTCTATGCACGCAGAATGCATACCTTATTCGTCTTGGTATTCCACACAGCACCTAATAATGCTTTGCACCAATAGGTATTCAGTACATTTTTATTGGATAAATAATTCAAAGGCTGGATACTTTCAGGCCTTCTAGCTCTGTTGTTAAGCTGGTACATACTTAGGAATTATAACACCATATTAATTCTAAGGAAAGAAGAAACTATTTGGGAGGTGAATCTTCTATAAGATTATATATTAATTCATTTCATAGCATCTCTCCCATTCTTAGTATAGATAATAAAAAGACAACCATATTTTTCTAATACAGCACTGATTTTTTTCATCCTTTTTCTCATGAACCACCCTGGCCTCCAGGCCATCACTAAGGAGAATGTCATGTTAGGCCTTGTTCATCTTGCTTTCCCGTATCTCTTTATGTTATTAAATTTGCCTAGCAACGCTTGTGTCCCAGTGTTAATATGTATTGCTTCTTTCTTCCTTTCTACCCTAACGTAGTTTTTCATTACTTATCTAGAGAAATCTACATTTCCTCACATCTCCAATGCCTCTCCATGCCGTAAACTCTAAACACCAGAACTTGAATGGCTTATTTTCTCACAGGTACCAAAAAGCTACTATTTTCTCTCTCATCATCCTGCTATTATCAAGCATATTCTTTTGATTCTTTTCTTTTTTTTTTTTTAAGTCAGCTCTACCCCCAAATGTGGGGCTTGAACTCCCAACCCTGAGATTAAGAGTTGAGTGCTCTAGCGATGCAGCCAGCCAGCCAGCCGCCCCTATTCTTTTGATTCTTGCCTCCAAAAATATGTTGTGTATTTTCTTGATTATAAAATAAAAGTGTTCATTATAGGAATTTTTGAAAAGAACTGAAGGGGAAAATAAGACCATTTAGAGGAAAATAAAAATCACTCATAACCTCTTTCTTTTAACATTATGGTGAATTTTTCTCCAGGCTATTTTTAATGCATAAATACTGGAATGATTGGTGCCACGGTAGGTATACTCTTCTATAGTAGCTTTTTGTATTTAGCAATGTGTCATGAATATTTTCTCAAGTCACTCAATGTTTTCATATAATAAAATGTTCTCTGGGGCGCCTGGCTGGCTCAGTTGGAAGCGCATGTGACTCTTGATCTTGGGGTCATCAGTTCAAGCCCCACATTGGGTGTAGAGATTACTATAAAAAAATAATAATAATAAGTAAATAAACTTAAAAAAATGTTCTCATATAATAATATTAAATGTTCCCAATAATAAAGATAATGCTTACCATTTACCGGGTGCCTATTAAACCTGCTGCCATCCTATGTGCTTTACATACATCAACTTATTTAATCCTTGCAACAGTTCTGAAGATAGATCTCATGGCGTCACAGGTAAAAGAGCTGAGGCTCGAAGATGGTAAGTGATTTGCTCAACGATGCCCAGTAGCCAACAGATCCTCCTCACTCTTCCTCTGCTCCTTCTGCTATGACACATTGCCTCCCTTGATTTTTGATGACTGCATAATATGACATCAGGTTAAAAACACCATGATTTAATTCTTTTTGTATTTTCAGACATTTATGTTTGATTTTTTAGGTATGATTAAATACCATGTAATATGGAGAATATAAGTGATTTTTTTATTTTTTTCAAGATTTTATTTATTTATTTGACAGAGAGAGACACAGCAAGAGAGGGAGCACAAGCAGGGGGAGGGGGAGAGGGAGAGGGAGAAGCAGGCTTCCCGCCGAGCAGGGAGCCCGATGTGGGGCTCGATCCCAGGACCGCGGGATCATGACCTGAGCCGAAGGCAGATGCTTAATGACTGAGCTACCCAGGCGCCCCGTAAGTCATTTTTTTAAAGATTTTATTTATTTATTTATTTGAGAGAGACAGAGAGAGCAGGAGGGAGAGGGAGAGAAAATCTGAAGCGGACTCTACGCTGAGTGCAGAGCCTGACGCAGGGCTCAATCCCATAACCACAAGATCATGACCAGAGCCGAAACCAGGAGTCCAACGCTTAACTGACTGAGAGAGACATCCAGGCGCCCCTAAGTCATTTTCATTAAACAAGCTATATACACATGTTTACCTATGTGTGCATTAAATAAAAACATTTAGCAATTAACAGCAATTACTCCTAAGGAAGAGGAATTCATGGAATGGGTGGGGAGGACAAGGGGAAGTTTCGCTATCATCTTGTTCACTTCTGTCTGGCTTCAAATATTTTTTAAGATCACAAGTGTGTATTATGACAGGAACTAAAAAACTAATAATAAAACACGGTGATGAAGGTTTTTATATGAGAATGCTCGGGCACATTTCTGATTATTTTCTTTGGATAAATTTCTAGAAGAAATAACAAGCCAAAAACAGGAGCATTTTAAAAGTTTCTTAGTACATGTCATAAAATTGCCTTCCCCCCAAAATTTATATACCTACAGCAGAAGTATATGAGTGCCGGTTTGCTGATCTTTGGATAACCCTAGGTATTAACATTCTTCTTGTCTTTGCCTATGTCATAGATGAAACATTGTATCAAATTTTGTTTTAGTCTTTGTTCTATAGATTATTGAGTGAGGTTGGATTTTTTTTTCTGTTTATCAGTCATTTTTATTTCTTTTCTTTTTTGGGAGTTGCCCATTCGTGTATTTTGCCATATTTCTATTGGCAGATTTACCTTTTTTTTTTCTTGTTAATTTGCCAGAACTCCTTATATATTATAAATACAGAAGTATTTGTCACATTTATTGCCAGTATTTTTACCTAACTATCAAAATACAGTCACCTACCTACATTTGCCTTTTGGTTTTGTGTATGACATTCTTTTGAAAAACAGTAGTTAAAATTAAAGAAGTTGAGTAGCCAAGTCTGTCAATCTGGTAGGAGTAATTCAGTTACTTGTGTTTTGAAACTCACATGTAGCAGCTGTTTTTAAATTTAAATTGGGGTGGAAGAGACAGAAGCTGAGATTTAAATGATTTATGGAAGGATTCGTAGGTAGGAGGCGGTAAAGCCGGGCTTGAGAACGTTAATGTTTAAAAAATGCTTAACTCTCAGTAAGGATGAGAAATTTGGGAACTCACACGTTGTGTGTGGGCCAGTGTTGAAGAACATTACAGAGGGAGCAGTGGAGAGGAACAGGTGACCTGCAGGGGCCGGAAAGGTGGGGCAGCCAGGCCAGGGGTCAGGGTGCAGATGACCAGTCAAGCAGCAGCGAAGTGTCAAGAACAAGGAAGAAGAGGTAGGAGTGAAGTGTGGCCACTGCCATGGCACCAAAGCGATTGAAAAATACCACCAATAGATGATCCGTCGAATAATAAGAAAATGCATCAAATCTAAAATGAAGTCACAAGAGACCATTTTTATTTGAAAATGAAAAATGTGGTAATCTCACTACAGAATTTACCGTTCTGATTGATGTGATATATGACTTTTTTTTTTTCATTTCATTTGTTAATTCTCAGCAGTGATTGCTGCAGGAACACGGCATTTTTATAAAGAATTTCTGTGCTGCCGAGAGATAAATATTAAAATAAGTTTCCTCCAGATGCCTAAGTAATTAACACAGTGCCACCAATGCAACTGAACCTTTACTACAGCAGACCTGCACCAGAATTATTTATTTTCTTGTTTACGATTGTCACCGACAAACCATTGGTTCGATATAGGTCACGCTGCTAACTCTATGAATGTCATCTCCTGCCACTGAAAGATCAGTTTCAGAAGTGTCATTAGAAGCCAGTGAAATCCTGGAGAATTTTAGATGATAGTGAGCAGAAAGCATGTTCTTGAAAACAAGTTATCTTTACAGACTACTCTGTCTCTTAATGTAATTTAGATGCCCATCCAAGAAAAAGAAGCTTCAAAGAAAGAGGTAATTCTTCTGGCCCAGATGAAGCATCCCAACATTGTAACATTCTTCAGTTCGTTTCAAGGTTTGACTTTCTAATA